TCATAACATGGGGGCCCAATAACCTTCGTGCTTGCGTTTCCTTTTATTTAGACCACTGTATGTGCTGCTCACAATGTGATGTCATTTACAATGGCTAGGCCAAACACAGACTGGGAGACCACTCTTTGTGAAACACCTCCACTCTGTCTAAAGGAGTGACCCTGAACTTCCAGTCGCTTGGCATTTCTGTAAACCATCTTGCTCCCTTGAAAACACTTCCATCCTTGGCCTGCTACAGTGTTCCAATGAAGCTCAATGCAAGTTGGAGGAACAATGCCTCATTTCTCATTTAGGCATTTTACAGCATCTAGGACTCAATATGGAGCTCCATAAATTGAGAGAATGATCTCTTTTATCTAGTTTTCTTACACCTCCCATCCTCTCTGGCCATATCTTATTTGTATTTTGTTGGATTTGCTCTCAACTAAACAGACCCATTTTTTCCTTTTCACTGCTAACATTGACACATCTATCTCTCCTTTATCACCATCATTGTCTTATGTCTTTGTCTTTTGCTCTGGGCACACTCAATCTGTTCCACTTGCTCTTTTTCTCTCTCTCTACAGCAGAAAAACCACAATTTTCCAGCTTCTCTCCCTTAGAAGAGTCATACTGAACCTTAAATATTAGCTTCATTTCTCTCTCCATAATTGCTGCTAGAACAGAGGCTCTTCAGTACTTTGGTTTGTATTTCCTTACATGGACACAATCACACTTGTTGCGAAGTTGGGTGGAGTATTCATGGATTAGAAGGCAGGACGTTTGATGTTTGTAAAATTGTAAGGGGGAAGAGTGGGTAATTCTTTTGAAAGATGATGTGTTTTTTTTAGGCTTGGAGATTAAAAAAAATGTGGCCCCACTGACGGATTTGTTAAAGAAGAACATGAAATTTCCAGGAGGCATTTGAGAATGTAAAAGCAGTGTTAATCCCAGCACTAGTTTTAGCCATGCCAAATTTGTTGAAACTCTTTAAAGTCGCTATCAATGCAAGCGATGTAGGGGAAGTTGGAGCTGTGTTGTTACAGGAGAATGATTGTGGAATTGAAAGGTCAATTAGTTATTTTTCAAAGGAACCCAATATCAACCAGAGAAAATTTTGAACTGTTGAAAAAGAGCTCCATAGATCCATAGAATCCCTACAGTGTGGAAACCGGCCCTTTGGCCCAACAAGTCCACACCAACTGTCAGAGCACCCCACCCAGACCCATCCCCCTATAACCCCACCTAATCTACCCATTGCTGAACACTATGGGCAATTTAGCATGGCCAATCCACCTAACCTGCACACCTTTGGACTGTGGGAGGAAACCGGAGCCACCAGAGGAAACCCATGCAGACACAGGGAGGACAACACAGGCCCCTGGTGCTGTAAGGCAGCAGTGCTAACCACTGAGCCATCCCAGTTTAGTATTGGCCTTACAACATTTTAATGTTGATGTTGTAAATAATGTATCAGAGACAGTTGTGTGCACTGATCACAAGCCTTTAATATTTTTGGAAATATTTAAAGATAAGAACAGTAGACTATTTTGTTGGAGTCTTACGTTACAAGCATTTAATTTACAGATTGTACATGTTGCAGATTGTGAAAATGTTATTGCAGACGTGTTATTGTGGGTTTAAAAGGAAAGTGCATATACAAGATACAAACAGAAGTGTTTAATGTTATATATGTATATAGAATTAGTATGAAATGTGTAAGTCTAGATTAATGAACTATGGATCTAGTTATAATGGTGTCAAGGTTTAGAGAAAAAGAATGAAGCGATCTTTTCATCTTTTTATTTTTGGTTCTTTTTATTTCTTAAGGTGGGAGGTGTTGCAAAGTTGGGTAAAGTACTCATGGATTGGAAGGCAGGATGTTAGAATTTGATGGTTGTAAAATGATAGGTTGAGAAGATTGCATGGTGCCTTTAAATGATGATGTGTTTATCCTAGGCTTGGAGGTTAAAAAACAGATGTGTAGATGCACAGAGAGCTCCTGGAACTGAAACATTGTATCAAAAGACTGTGTGATTAACAACTCAGGCAGTAGTTTGTTTTGTTAGCAAGGTAACCAGTTTGAAAATCAGCCAATTACCTTAAACCAGGCACTTAAAACTAAACAATTAAATTTAAATCTTATGGTTTTGACAACCTAGAGCTAATTGTAAGAAATTAGTAGGTCATCGAGGGTATAAAAGAAGAGAGCATTTCAAAATCAGCGTGAGAGCAACTGTTATCTGTTAGATTTAATAACCAGCAGCCCTGAAGAGAAAAACATTGGCTCTCGCAGAATTCTCTAAGCTCTCAGAGTAACCACTATCTAAATAAAGGTATAGTGGCACTCTTAGCTAATACTCCTGACACAAGAATTCAAGAGGGAGAGGCATTCCTGACACAAGAATTTGATGGAGAAAGGCGTTCTGGACTGAGGATCAGAGGAAAGGGCACAGAGCATTCTGGAAGATGTATCCTGGCTCTAATTTTGAGAGATTAAGTTTTAAGTATTTTTCAATTAATTTGGTTTATATAAGTGGGATTTGTATCTATTAGAACAGCATACCATTAGAATTTTATTTATCCGGGAATAGTTAGTATTTAGGGGGGAATTGTTCGGTTAGTTAGTGGTTCTGTTAATTTGTTCCCTGTTAGAGTTAGATAAATAAATTGTTATTTGTTGATTATAGATTGACTGTCAGGCTTCATTTCATTTAACCACTCCTTTATAACAGATTGGGGGGTGAGAGACAGGTTATACCACTTTTCACACTTCTTTTAACGGATTATGAGGTGAGGTGAGTTTCTTTGGGTGTTTCGGTTTTAGTTATCAGAGGGAAATCGACCTCCACTTTACGACACACTGCATTGCCAATACACAAACCCATCTTAGCTTCTTGAAATGTGTTATGCAATCAAACCCATTAATGATCAATAATACCTGTACACAGGTCAATTCAACATGATAAGTAATTTTAAGGATGATGCATATCCATTTATTGATCCTTTGAAGAAGTGCAGTATGCATATTCAGGAGATGCTTCAAGTGGAACTGAATGAGTTGGAGTAAAAATTGCAGAATTCAGAGTCAACCATCACAGAGATTTGTGTAGCATTTCAACACGTGTTTTAAAGGAAAATGCCACCATAGAGTATACCTAGATCCTCATCCAAGTGTTCCCCTTCTTTCATGTGGTTTTATTTACCGTACCTGAGTTGCAGCACTTAAACCATTAAGGCATCTCAACCTTACGCTTAAAAAGGTATTTACATAAATTGACACTGGTAGCATTAAATCCTAAATTTTCTGAAGCAAGTTTCAAGGTACAAATGCTGGTATGTCCAGTTATTTATTCTGCCCATGGACACTGTCCCAATCCAGTTAAGATTGAAGATATAACAGCAAACTTTGTTTCAACCAGCACTCTTGATAAAGCAGCAAAAATTATACACCTCAAATACTGTGAAGTTTACTGTATTATTCTGTCCAATTATCATAGTTTGTAAAATTTAATTATCTCAATGTAAATACACTAGTTCTTTGATTGAATGGCTGCATGAAATATCAATAGTTAATTCAATTTTGAGTCAATTTCTCTTCAAATGCCGCGACATCTGAGTAGTCTTTTGAGGGTGTGAGTGAGAAGGCTATCTGCTGGTAAGTTTTATTTAAGGTAAAGTTGTATTTTTATTTAAGTGATTTATGCTGTATCTAACAGTTTAATAAAAGTATAACAGTACTGTGTATGCTCCCTGCATTACGTTTCAATTACTTAGCGTGTGTTTTTACATTAGTTAGGTGGACCTCTTGATTATCCAGAATATTGGAATAATCAGCACACTCCTGGTCCCCTAGGTACCAGATAATAAAGAGTTTACTGTAAAACAAATGCCAAGCCTAAAGTATAATGAGGATCTGTGACAGTGCCTCAGGTTTTTTTTAAATTTCCTGTCTCAATTCATGGTATAAGTATCTCTGCAGAGATTATGCTGAAGAAGGATGTCCCTAGTTTGTGGCAAGATGACCATCAGTATATCTTCAATTCTCTCAAGCGAGTTCTTCAAAAAGGTCTTGATTACTGTGTACCATGACTCCAGGAAAGACATCATTCATGATGTGGATGGGTGCCAAAAATGCCTAGGCATGTGTCTTTTGCAGGACAAGAATAAAACGACTGTTTTTGGTTCAAAAACCCCCACGGTCTACACAAGCACATGTAGTTAGTTGGCAAGAAACTGACCATTGAAACAGATCAAGAGCCACTAGAAATGATCTGTTGTAAACCGCTAATGAGCGTTCTACCATGATTGCAGCATCTACTTGACTTTCAAGTGAGGTATAAGGCATGAAACCAAGATGGCTGCATCTTACACACTAAACAGATTGGCCAAGGTATTTCCTGTGACTTACACATTGTCTACAAAATTGAAGATGTTCTCCAGGGGGATCCGTTACACTTTGGACAGAGTCAATGTGAACAGCCACAACCATCAACTGCAGGAGTTGAGTAACTACAATAAGTAGCAGAAGATCATTATCCAGGATGACTTGACAGTATTACAGTGCTAAAGAAGAAGTTTAATTGATTGTGGCAATACAAGGACAAAGGTGATACATCATGACAAGTCATCTTCAAGGGCAAACAAGTCTGAATACCAAAAACACAAGGCAAATATCATATTCACATTACAACAGGGGCACATAGGTATTGATCACACAAAGTGGCTAAGCACACTCATCTATGTGCTAACCAGGGATGAATCATGATATCCAATAACTCATGAATGTGTGGGAGGACTGCCAAATATATCAACCCTGGTAGTGAGAGAGCCTCTACATCCACCAATGTCCCATCCACTTCTTGCATGAAAGCAGCAGCAGACCCAATCACAATGAATGGGCAAGTTCACATCCTCGTGATTCATTACTTCTGCAAATTTCCCATTGTTTGATGACTTAGCCACACAATGCACCATCATCGACCAGCATCTGCTAATCTCCATGGTAACATTTCTCTTACCTTGGTATCTGGGAAAGCAGCTGCAGGCTTCAGTAAGTATTGCAAGAGACTAAGGACTTTCTGTCCAGCTGCAAACGCACCATAACCCTGGCATAGATACACAACCCAGAGGACCTGCAGCATAAACAGAAACATCAGACCGTCCATTGGAGATAATTGATGGCACCGTGTTGTACAGAATCAAAGCATATAGGAATTATTGAAATTTGCAGAACAATGACAACAGAATACAATAAAGTTTCAATCACCTACAACTTATATCGTGCCTTTAAAATAATGGAACGTCACAAGGCACATCTCACCTGCACAGTCACAAAATAGCCTATCATTTTTAAAACGTTCTCAGAAACTCACACTAGTTGGTATCAAATTGGTAATTTGTCTTGGATAAGTTCTGACTTGCTTGAGGGGGAATATGGGAAAATGTCACAGTGAGTGACAGTCTTCTCAATTTGGGGTTCAGGCAGAATTGCGAAAGCTTCAGAGTATCTCAACTAGCACCCCAGGGCAGGAACAGCATGAATTTGATCCAGAATGAGGCTCCTTCTATATGTTCCCATCAGCATTCTTAAAATACATGCAGCACCAATATAACTCTCTCACCTTAAGGAGTATTGTATCTGTTCACAGAATGCTGGAAGCTGACAGTGGGTTTCCAAATATGAAATGGCATTTTACTTACAAGCAAAGAAGTACAACATTTTGTGAGCAATAACTTACTCATATTTAATTGCTAAGTTAGAAAACATAAATCAATCAATACGGCGATTGACTCATTTAATACATTCAGTAATAAATTGGCTTAGTATGGCAGAAAACAAAAGGATAATCCATCTACGGTAGGAAAAAAAAAAGTAAGAAATGGTCACATTAAGCCAGGAAGTAGGAACTGGATGGTGAGAAATACAGATGAAGTCAGCGACATAAGATGCGTAGAGATAGTAGGAACTGCAGATGCTGGAGAATCTGAGATAACAAGGTGTAGAGCTGGATGAACACAGCAGGCCAAGGAGCATCAGAGGAGCAGGAAGGCTGACGTTTCGGGCCTAGACCCTTCTTCAGAAATCAGAAA